TTTTAAGTTTGTAACGTGACAAAATGTGAATTTTATATCTATTATTATTTCATATGGTATAAATAAATTTACTGTTTTGCTTTGCTAATGGGTGGGCGTATTTTATATCCGGCCGTGTAATCAGAAAACTGTGCTGTTACTGTCAAGGAGAACGCTATACACACAATAGTCTTTATCAATTTAATGATCGTTCCCTATATGACACATACACTTGACGCCACTGTCAATACCTGTATAATTTTAATATTGTTCTATATTTTTATCTTCTTTATATTCTGTAAATTGTTAAGCCGATACCCTCTCCTAAACGTGATCGTCGTCGTCGGTGTGTCTCGCCCGGAATATACGCTCTCTTCCCTTTGAACCACCGTCGTGGTATTTTTCTGTGTGCGTTCAGCCAACATTATTTTTTTTTTCGTGTGTAAATTTTTTTTTAATGACGTGAATTAACATCAACAAGGTGTCGGTCATTTCCGGGGCCGAGATCCCCATCTTAGGATGAGTCCCATCTGGGACTGGGTATCATATTGTTTTCATTTTATTGAATATAATGTTTTGAGCCTTATTCTGTTTTAAATTTATTCTTTTATGAAATGTATATATATTTTGAGCAAGTATTGATATTTATAAGATTATTGGTCAGTGGTGTGTCATCTATACTTCATACATATATATATATTATTCCCGCAGTGCCCAAGTACGGTCCGGTCGGCACGATTACAAAAATTATCCGCTATGTACTATCTAAAAGCTGTAGGTTAAAATTTTTTTATCTTAATAATTGTTTTATTAGCATTTTTTACATTAACATTAACATTAGCTTTAATTTTATATATGTTGAAAGCTTGTAATATTCCCGGAATATTTTAAAAAGGTTAATAAAAGGAAATACCTAAGGTGTTTATACAAAAAAAAATTGTTTTCCTCATTCATTTTGAATAAAGTTATGACAGCATTAAGTAAAAAAAATGTTGACAGTTGCCGATTTTAAAACTAGGAATTATTTGAAAAATTTTCCCCATTTACGGAGAACGTAAGAATTACTTTTAATCATTGATGGCCATGTCTTTAACTAGATACGATTTTCAATTTTTGAACAAATCGTTGAAAAAGATCGAATAAATGAAAGCTGAGGAAAATAATGACAGATAAATAAAAAAATAAAAATAAACACATCATAATAAAATTCATCTTAGGATCTACGTAACCTAAGCAGGAAAATCATTAGTGTTACAGAACTAGCAATTGATAAAAAGCAATTTAAGCTAGTTTAAAATTTTAAAGTTTAACTTTATATTTATTGTAAGATTCATGTAACTTTTATAAAAATCGGTGAGCTCATTACAGTGTTTTCTGAAGACTTATAAATTATAAAGATTAGATCGATGTTTGTTAAGTCGTTGACAAGCGATAACTTGTACAAGTGAAATGCTCGTACCTTATAAAACCTTATGATTTTTGAAGGGTAATAAGAGACATTTCTCAGCTCACCTTCGTAATATAATAATCATAGTAACTATTTTTAAAATAGTCTTCGATTAGACAGGTATAGTTTGTTGAAATACGAAAAAATTTTGTAAAATGTGTATAAATTTAGACAAAAGTAGGTCAAATTTGTATAAACTATGTATGACAACACTATCGTCAACATTTTTTATAAATTTGTCTAGTATTTTCAAGTGAAGTTGCAAATATACCGAAATTAAATTTAATTTAATCATTCGAGTAATTGTAATGTCATTTTCATGATTTTTTTGTAGAAGCTAATTACTCTCTATTATATGAAATAAAATGTTTCTAACTGGTTATTTCTTTATATAGGTGTGATTCATTATTTGTACCTCAATTTATTGATCCTGATTCACAAGAAAAGGGAATAGTAAATTTAAATATTCTTCTTAATGAGGGAAACTGGAATACTTTGAGTTATCTATATATAAATCATAACGGCCAAGACATAAGTTTAAGCCGAGTGCTTAGAGATCAAGCAAATAATAATAATTTTCATCTTAAAAAACAGTATATCACTCAACTATTAAGATGTAGATTTTTTGACATATTAAAAAATTTCACTACACTTTTATCTGGAGTTATAGACTTAAGTAACAAAGAAAAGAATAACTCAGACAAATTGGAAGATCTAAATTGTTATATTGAATGCGTAAGTAATTTTTTTCGGATTATGAAAAAGGTTCAAGATTTATTAAATTATTTAAACATAGCAATGGAGAAATTAAAACAAGCATCAATATGGCATGAAAATGGAGCATTTTATTGCTTATCACCAATAAAAAAAATAATTGATAATATACTTGAGGTGATGAAGAAAAATAATTTGTTGCGAGATGATTTTTCTGACTGTATATTAGATTTGGAAGAAGTAGCAAACAATTATCTTGCAGACGCGCAAAATGTAAGATTCTGTATTCAATCAAACTTAAAAAATGCAAGGCGAGTTCATGATAGCCATTGTTTTTATCACGAAAAAGTCTTATTTACTAAACAATATGTTTTTGATATTAGTCAAAAAAAAACAATCTCAACAAATATTGCTCATTCTTCTACTAATCCCATTTCCATTTGTCAACAGGCTTGTGCAGAATTATATATGTTTTGTGAAGATTTCATCAGTAACGAATATAAAAATCTAGGGTTTGATAAAATTAATTAAAAAATTGGTTGTCATTCTTAAATAATTTTATTTATGTCAAGATTATTCTATTAAACTCATTTTATGAATCATAGTTATTAGTATGCTAAATTGCTATAGGATTATTAATGTCTAAAATTTATCAAATACTGTTCGGTAGAATTAATCAGATTATAGGATAGCTAGTTATGCTCTGCTTTTCATTGTTGTACAAAATAATATTAACAATAAAAAATAAAAGCCTATAATATAAAATGAAATGCATATAAATTTACTGAACAGTGAACAAATATCTATTTCTATATTAATATGCCTAGATGAACATTTGATATTAATTAATACTAACCAATCGGTTAGTATCAAATCGGTTAATAAAACTATAAATAAATTTAAATAGAAAAATTGTATTACAAGTATCCCGTTAGACGTGTATGAATACTTTTTTTAACCATATAATAAGTAAAATCCCCAGCATTGTGGGATCGCAGCAAAATGGTGACATTGCATAGTTGGGCTCAGTATTGATTTAATTTGACAGTAATTAAAATCACTATCATAAAAAACGCTTTAAGGCAAATATGATGATAGTGTTTAATTATAAAAATTGGTGGAAAAATTGAAGGATTTAATGCAATATTTTTCAAAAATAAATTGTTTGTTACTTATTAATTAATTTATTATTCTACAAAGAATTTTCATCTTAGCCAAAAATATACTTTTCTAAACCCATTTTTGAGCCAATTTCAAATCTTCAATGACAGTTTCGCATATGGTCTGAAAAATAACAAAATCCTTCTAATTAATATAACAAATATTTTTGTTTGATTTTTAGGTAACGTATGAATAATCTATAAATATATTTTAATTATAAATAAGTTGAAAAAGTTCTACTTTCTATATGCATTTTTAAGTTTTGAACCACCCCTGTATAAAAGGGTAATGGCCCGATTTAAAAAAATGTATATCGAATAAAGAGTATATAACTAATATTACTCTTAAAAAAATTGTATTGATTCAAAATTTTTTCAAAAAGTTATAGAAATATTAAGTTAAAAAGTAAAATATAAAATCAAGAATTTTAACACAAAAATAGTATACGATAGCAATTTTCACTGTGAAGACAAAATAAAGTCCGAAATTTTTTTTTTCATAATAAAGTATATTACATTAGCTTTAAATTAAGATATATATAAAAGTGTCAGTATTTTTGGAACAGTTTCAAAAATTAAGTTAAAAGAGTTAATTTTTTGTTAAAAAGTTGTCATTTTGTTACCCATCCTGTGGGCAGGTTAAAAAAAAAAATGACCAAATGATAGATGAATACTTAATATACATATTTAAGAAAATATTATATTGATCTATACATTTTTTAAAAGGTTTTCAAAATTAGAAGTTTTTAGTAAAAAAAATTATAAAATGTCGAAAATTACCGATTGTAAAATTTGTAATTTAATTGGAGATTTCCCAGTCTTTACGGGGAATGATTGAAATTTTTTTAATTATTGAGGGTAAATTCTTCGGCTAGCTAGGATTTGTTATCTTTTGACGTATCGTTGAAATAAATCGGTTTGGTGAGAGCTGAGACCAAGTTTAGATAATGTAACTAGATAATATCAAAGATATATTATTAACTAGTTTTGTATCTGTTTCATCACACAATAGTTTTTTGTTAAATTGAGTGGTCATATTTTCTAATGGCAAATCTACTATGCCACATTATCGTCTCTTTATTGTGAATTTTATTAACTAAATAAAATATTTTTATTAATAACTTAATAATATATTTAGAATCTCCAGTATAAATATAGATTAAGACATTTATTCTATAAAACAAATAAATATTTTCAATAATATTCTAGCTGTAAACTTTACTTATAAATATTATAATCGTTAAAAACGACAAATGTTTACATTACTCACCTAGAAATTGTTTGGTAACGGTATTTGAAAATTTTTCATTTAGTGGTAGTATTGAATTTTAGCTGTACATTTTGTATCAAATTTCATACATTTTTTTTTTATTATACGACAATATTTATGTGGAAAGGGCTTTAAGTTCATGTAAATTGGTACATACAAATGTAGAATTATAATCGCATGATTAAAATTAATATATATATTCAGTCATAAAATTTTTATTTATAACTAGAAAAATATACTACCTTACAAATATATTAAAACAAATAGTTAGGCTCAAATATTTTATAGCTAAAAAATATGTTAAGTAAATAAAAATAGTAAACTATCAAAAAAGATCGTCTGAATTATTTGTTTATTGTTCGTTTTGAAATAGAATATATATATAACATCTATATAAAAATTATAACTATTAGTTCATAAACAAGTAAAAACAATTTTATTTTTTTAAACAGAAATTAAAATTGTACACTAAAAAAAGTATTACCATCTCATATCAGTTTTACAAATTTATTAGAAATGCAGGTCAGTATTTTTATTTTTATATATTTTATTCACTTATGGCATGTACCGGCTTTATGTCCACAATCTGTAAAAGGAAGATATTTAAAATATGTCATTACTGTAATAAAACATATTTGTGTCCAAAAAGGATGGGATTCAATGAAACATTTGCAGTTAAATCAAGATAAGTATGGAAACATGACAATAAGAGATGCATTTACACAAAAAATTGACAAAAACAATATTTTAGGTATGTTTATTATTGTTGTTCGTTTACTTAACTACAAGTATACCGAGATATTAAAAAATTATGTAGAACTCATTACTTTAAGCATAACAGAATGTGAAAAGTATTCAACAGATCATCTATTCGGAGAATTTATCAATTGTACCCAACGTATTGAACATGGAGTGAAAAATTCAATGAATATGTTTGACAATTTGTACCATGTAATGACATTTATGAGTTATATAGATATAAAATTCTTATTTATACATACTTTAGAAAGCCCATACGTCATGGTAGACGAAATTTATTTTGCCTATCATTATATAAATACCATGAAAATATCAGATCGATCATTTTATACTGATCAAGATGGTAACTTAATACCTGAAAATGCGATTTCAGTGCTTTTAAATATTAAAATATTCCTTAATGAATTATATTTAAAGGCAGAAAGTGTTGAAAATAAATTATGTGATTTTGATCAATTCCCTGGCCGAGTTTACTATCATTTGATTTTTAAAGAGAAATATTTACAATACAAATTAGTAAATGCCAATGTAACTACTATCGATTTTGTGTTAATTATGCTAGTTTCATTTTTCGAGGACACCATAAAATATAATTATGAAGACATTGGATTTAAAGAAATACTTAATCCGCTTTTATACAAGTAAATTAATAATTTATTAATTTTTCATTAATTTAGGGCATAAAATCTCACATCTTACATTTTTTTAATATTTCTAGAAGTAAAAAAAAACTTTCTATTTAAATTTTTTAAATTGAGAGCCCATTGAAAATAATTATAAAACCGCTATAATAAATATTTAGAATAAAATGCTTATTATAATTTACAGAAGCATCTTAATTCGTATCTGTGTAAATGTTGAAAATTTACACAGATCGAAAAATCGAAAAAATAATACTAATACTCAATAAGGTGGTCCTTAAAATTTTTTTCAAACTCAAATAAAATTAGTAAACAATTAATAAAATGTTAAAACAAAATTTGAAAAATGATTTTAATGCTCATAAAAAAATATAAAATCAAATAATATTAAAAATAATTATTCTAATAAGCACAATATAAAAAAAATTTTGTTTTTGAATGGATTGTTAATTTTTATCTACAATGTATGTTTAGAAAAATCTCCATATTTTGATCTATAATCATTAACGACTGTAGTAGAAACTGTTTTTGTACTTCATTCACTTCTTCATTTATTCTCTGCTTCATCGTTTGTCACAAGAATATTAGATAAAACTTTCAAACTATTTTGAAAATCAGGATTTTAAACTTTTAAAACAAGTTTAACAATTCTAGTGATAAAAAGCTATCATATTCTTTTTTAAAAATATATTAGTATCATTAAGGTTTATTGTAATTTTTTTTAAGCTGTTTTTATCTTGTTTTTGTGATGTCTCTCTTGATGCTTAAACCATTTTTAGTTTAATATCTGCAGGTACTTTGTTATCAAAAAATGCTTAAGTTACATTTTCAGGTGACAAATGCCGTGAAAATTTCTGTGTTGCAGCTTTAGATATAAAATAATTAAGATAATTAATTAAAACTTTTATGAAACATAAATCATTAAATGGTGATTTTATGGCAATAGATCTTTTAAACCAAACCTCAACATAAACTTTTACCAATAATACACAAATATCACGAAATGTATGTTCTTCTCGTATTTAAACTTTAACTGTTTTCTGAACATTTATATTTTTAGCGAATAAATTGCTTTAGACATCCATCTAGTGTGATGAAAAACATCAGGGTAGTGAAATTTTACACCATTAAAAAAATAACACATAAATCGAGAAATTCTCTGTAGTCATTTCTACATTGGTGAATTATTAATGTTTTTATACGAAATTTTATTGTATTAATTTTAATGTGTTCAACTGCATTTTTTATAATTATATCATTGATACCAATATCAAAATTCAACAAATCTAGACAAGTTCAACTTTCTTTAAATTATTTAAAAATTGGTTCATTTAGACCAGTTGTACATAAATTAAGTTTAACCTCAAAAAGATTTTTTAGTACTAATTCCTATATATGTCTGCGATATAGTAAATACAACACATTACGCTCTAGAAGTTGTTTAAGAAATATACAAGCGCCATTTAAGTGACCTGTATTAGAAGCTGTTATACTACAACACAAGGCCTATATTTTATCTTTTACATCCCAAACTTTTAATAAATCAAAAATTGCATTTGCCTGATTCTCGTCAGAACCACTCTCAATTTTTGGGACCTCAAGTAATTGACTTACTCCTTTAAATGATACCAAGATTGGCAATCGATAAACTTTAGCTCTATTCATAATGTCCAGAAGTAGTTTTTCATCCCAATACAAGACAAAACTATTTTTATTCAAGAATTAAAATTTTTAAAATAATCTTTCCCGTCGAATAATTGATCGGTTGATTATTAACTTTGGTACGTTATTGCCTAATGGTTCAGCAGTAAAAATAATTAAATGTACAGCATCACTTTCAGATATCTTGCATCGATCTAATCGATCTAATGTTATTGAAAAATGCGGTGAACCAGACAAATCATCTTCTTTTTCATATTCTGAGGAACTAAAAAAATTTAACTCAGCAACATTGTCAAAAAAAAAAAATAGTATTAAATTGTACTTAATTTTAAAGAAAATTAAGTGATCCCATCGTACCAGTGGATTCCATTTCTAATAGTGAATGTTTTTTTTGTTCTTTTTTTTTAACTCTTCATTTTTTTTTCCTTTTGAGACAATTTGTTGTCGATACCTAACATGGAAACAGGTCTACCTTTCTGTCTTTGTAACAATAAAAACTTTTTATCTTCCTCAATTTTCATCATATCTATTGCATTAGAATGAGAAATATCAAATAAATTATTTAACTGTTCCGTATATTGACTGATTTTATTTAGATGTTTATTGGTAGTTCTTTTTGACGATTTTTGAAATTATCTTATGTTTGAATACAATTTATCAAGTAATTACACACAGCGTTGTTCTTCCTTAATCGGAATTCTATCTTTATGCCAGAATAATGAAACTTCAGCAATAACTAATTTAGCATATCGCGTATCCAAAAAAATAAGTGTGAACACTTGATTTGTAGGAACATATAATTTAACACAAGGAGATAATACGCGTAACAGTACAAATAAGTAGATATATGTATTTACTTATGAAAAAATACACCTTTCGCAGCCGATATAAATATATGTATATATTAATAGCCTAGATACAGGTGTCGCAACACTTTATATATATGTATTAATACAATAGTTAAAGAATGCACTATTAATAATCGCCAAAGGAAAAAAAGGAAACAAACCTAATTAACACAGGAAATTAGTAAAGGCTAGAAAAAAAAACAAAAAAAACGGAGCAACCAGTTAAAGTATTCCAAAACGGAACACACCGCAATTTCAATAATCTATATTTGGCGGCGTCCTTATCTCGGTGTCAAGGGAGGGGAGACATCCGATTGTCATATTAATAGCTGGACGGCTGATATCGAGAGAGACACGAGTGAGCGCCAGCTTAAAGTGTTGGGCGGTGCCGTGTCAAGCACTTAAAATACAAATTAATTTGTCATGACTTAAGTTGTAAAATAAGCGTGTTTATTCAACGGCAATTTACTGCCTACAATTTGTTTTGAATGAAATAAAAAGTGTTTGGAATAATTTAATGTAGGTATTGAAATTTCTAATAATCTAAAAATTGATACAATAAATAAAATAAACACAAACTATAGCATACTATTAAAACAACACTATTTAACTTAACAGTGTCATCATATATTGTCATATTACAAAAAAAAATAACCTTTGAAATCACAATTACTGGTAGAAATCTTTTTATTATTATATTTTGGTATTAAACACATTACAGTGTGTTTGCCTATTACTAATTTTAAATAGATTGAAAAATCCTTGATTTTATGTGATATTAATTTTATGTGCATTAATATCGTTTTCAAATATTTTCTTTTAGTTTTAATATGTATTTGTGAGCATATGTTATTTTATTATGGAAGAAATCGTCATTTCTTTTAATTATCAAAGAAAAATGATTATTATTCATAAGTTTTCTTTATTACCTCCTTAAAAAACACGTATAACAATTAAATTTCAAACAAATTATACATGAAATTTTTTTATAACTCGAACGGTTCATCGTATACATTTAAATTGCCGAAATATATGAATTTTACTGGTAAACATAATATTTATGGAATATTATACTTTTGAAGGGTAAATATTTTATTTATGAGTTATTTGCTAATAACCTTTTTTATGTAAAATAATTACATGTATAATTTCTTTCTTATAAACTTTTACGTAAAAATAATATATTTTGAAACAAAGCACAATAACTGAATAACTACCCTTTTGATTGAATTTTCAATACTCTTGCGGCATGTGTTTACATTAACCTATCGATACCAAATTTTGCATTGCTTATTTTTACATATATTAGAACAATTTTTTGGTGCGCTCAAATCGAATTTTGAGAATTTCTATTTTATGGACTTCCCTAATGCCCTACATAATCAATTTAGAGAATCATTAGGCTGATAATGCAGATTCTATAGCTAATTTATTTTAGAATTATTTTTTTTACTCTTACGAAAGATTCTAATTCAATAATTATTAATTCAAATAATATCTATATTTTAGTTTAATGCCAATTATCTCTATATAACATATTTCATAGTCTGGAATTATTAAAGGATAACACGATACAGCGGTCCTGATTTATTTCTTGCCTCGTTTTTAAAAAATATCCGATATACTTATGCTTATACAATTTTGAAATTATTTAATTTATTGAAACAATTTTAAATTTATTTCTAAAATTAAACTTTTGACCACAAAACTTTGATCTATAAATTAGGCTTAAATATTCTTTGCGGTAATATGATAAAAGTATTAGTATTGTGATGATGTGAGTTTTTTTATGTTTGTCCATAAAAATTCTCAGCTGTTACTGAACCAATTTTAATGATTAATACTTTAAAAGAACCTAATTTTAACGTAAATAAACCTGTCAAAAATTTGAAAAAACCCCATTTTAAATGTATAAAAAAATATCTCAAAATTAACCTATTGTCAAAAATAATTTTTTATAAAAATATTCTTTAACTAAGGCAACCATTTATAAATAAAAGGTAAATCATTGGAACAATTCTTTTTGTAACATTAGCTTTAATTTTATATGTAATATAAGCTTGTAGATTCTCGGAATATTTTAAAAAGTTATGTTGTAAAGATTAACTTTTCATGTAAAAGTAGCAGTTTTGAATTCCTTTCAGTGCACAAGAGTCAGATTTTTAAATAAAATATAGTTAAAATAAGGAAAAGGCCTAAAATGTTTATATAAAAAAACATATGTTTCTCCTTAATTTTTAATGACACTATTAAGTAAAAAAAAACCTAGAATAGTGGGGTCGCGTCACAGTGGGGACGTGGCATAGTTGGGTCCAGTATAGATTTAATCTGACAGTATTTAAAATCACTATCATTAGAAATGTTTCGATGTAATACTGTAGATATGGTTTAATTCTAAGAAATTGGTGGATAATTACAAAAGCAAATGAACTCCTATTTTCTTATTTATAACATGATTAGTAATTCTTAGATTAAAAAATATAATATATT